CTGTCAAAAGAGAGTAAAATATACACTTCAATAATAAAAACTAACTTCTGTCCTGATAGAATTATGAACCTGTGAAGTTTGTTATTTCGTAATAGAAGAATTATATTGCAAATCAATTTGATAAAGTATCACAATGTTGTACAGTAATGTTTACTGATGACCACGTCTCGAGCACAATTCTCATTACTGCTCATAATTATATCAAGTTGCTCACACAACTTTTTGATATCGTTTATATAATTCAATTATTTTTCGTCGCTTGATTTGATCCGTAATAATATTTTCCATATCTCTGATATTGGAAATGGAGCCATTCCTATTGCACGTATTGGATGTAGATTCGATGAAAAAAGATTCAGTAGTCAACCTCACTATCCATCTACCTATACTACTCTCTAGAAGTGTAGCCCTCTCCCACCATGTCATTGTGTGGTTGTGTATTAATGCATGCAGTGCAATTGCTGAGATTTTGTCCTATATTACTTATCTTCGTGGGGTCAATTATTCTAGCCTTAGCTAAATTCTTATGTTCTGATAATCTCACTACTCCTGATCTATTAGTTTGGCCTATGTAGCTGGCCTCACAGTCATTGCAAGGTATTCTGTAAATTATAATATTTTGTTTAATTGTCTCTGTCTGTCTGTCTGTTTTCCACATAGAACTTTGCACAAATGTGCGGAAGTTCAAGTCGCCACATTCCGTGTAGCACGCGAAGCAAGAGAAAAAAGTACAAGAAAAGCATAATAGAAACAGTGAGCAGAGGTGTGAGACAAAGGAGTAATAACGAAGAACAAAACAGTTTCATTGGAGATCATAAGTCACAAGGAGTGGATGCATCTGCTGCCACTGAGAACGATTTTGAGCCATGTCACCAATTGTTTCCAACCATAGATTTTTACCGTCCCGAGGACCCCAGCCTGGAAGTCTACACCTTCCTACGTGGCCTAGACCAACTGTTGTGGATTTCATTGACTGGTGCCAAGTTTTTGTTTGACCGCCGCTAGCTTTTTCCAGCCTGACCCTATATCCGCTAACATTGCTCGTCGAGGGAGGCGATGACTAGGCATACTTAACACATGTCCTAACCATCTCAGTCTTTGTAACTTCACAACTTCGTCGATTGATTTCCCCAGTTTACCTAGAACTCGACGCCTAACTTCAATGTTGCTCACCTTATTATGCCACTTTACACGGGAAATAGAGCACAGGCACCTATGATCAAAGACAGCTAGTCTTTTCATGTCTTCCACTCTCAGTGGCCAGATCTCACAGCCCGCCATAAAGGAGGATGGAGCGGACTGATGAGCAGTACACCCGCCCTTTGGTCGATAGTCGAACATCTCGTCTACGCCAGAGTCGGCGTAAACTGGTATATGCGAAGCGAGCCCTCTGTATCCGTACTGAGATTTCGTCAGAGAACAACCCGTTGGTACTGGGTGATGGTACTTCCCAAATAAGTGAAGCGGTCAACGTGCTCTACCACTTCACTTCCTATTTTTAAACTAGGCGTCGATGTAGTCCAGTCCTGTAACATCATCTTGCATTTGGCGGGAGCGAATCGCATGCCAAACATTCGTAGATTGCTGCTCAAGGTGTTTAGAAGACTCTGCATTTCGTCAGCGTCTTCGCCTAGAAGGACTATATCGTCTGCATATTCCAAGTCAACGAGATTATTCCCTGGTAGCAAGTCAATCCCTGAGTCGCTGAAGTCAGTTAGGGTTAAGTCCATTAACACATCTATGATGAAGTTGAATAGAAAAGGGGATAATGGGCATCCTTGACGGACACCACTAGTCGTCACCAATTCAGATGACAACTCGCCGTAAGCCCTCACCTGGCTGCATGAGTACGAGTAGAGTGCCTTAATCAGTGCAATATATTTTCTCGGGATTCCCTTTACAGCCAATCATCTCCAGAGAACTTCTCGATCGACAGAATCGAATGCTGCCTTTAGGTCAAGAAATATAATGACTGATGGATGCCGGTAGGAATGCCTATGTTCTATAATCTGTCGAAGGGTGAAGATATGATCAATACACCCTCTTCCTGGTCTAAAGCCTGCCTGGCTCTCTCGTGTTTGTGCCTCCCGAGCACTACTCAATCTACGCATGATTATTGAGCCTAAGACTTTAGATACTATATTAGTCAAGCTAATCCCTCTGTGATTATCACAGGAAGACTTGTCTCCCTTCTTGTATATGGGAATAATCAGTGATTTACACCAACCCGATGGAACTTCCTCTGATTCCCAGACGCTGCCTAGTACCTCAGTTAATGCAGACAGTAAACTGTCTCCACCGTACTTAAATACCTCTGGAGTGATTCCATCAGGTCCTGCTGCTTTGCCTAGTTTCAGATTGGTGACAGCTTTAGTAACCTCAGTTAGGGATGGAGGACCTGTGTCTATATCCCATTCAGGGAGGTGTTGGATATTCGGAAGGTTGAGCGTGGCTGTGGGCAAATTAAACTGTTCCTCATAATGCTCTTTCCAGCGATCCAGTCGTCTATCCTGGGAGCTAATTATAGTTCCATTTTTTTCCGAGATTGTTTCACTAATGATTTGTCTTCTCCCACCCGTTTCTCTGATGAGTCTAAGTAGTTGTCTCGTGTTGCCTATCCTCGAAGCTTTCTCCATCTCTTTCGCTTTTGTCACCCACCACTGTTCACGGTCCTTGCGGAGACTTATCGTAAGTTTCCTTTTGTGCAGCTTTCGCTCCTCATTGAATTCGGAGCTCCCCGGAATAAGTCTTCTAGCATCTATCAGTTGTTTAATTGGGTCCACCGACAGGGTTATTTAACCTACAGAGCTTGTCCCTGAGTGGGCTTTTAGGTTTAAATGCCACTCTAATTCCTGCTTTATTAAGAATCCTACATAGGGCCTAAAGATGTCCCCTTTTTATATGGTAGAACCGTATATGTCTTGTATTCTCTCTTATTTATGTTATCATTACTAGTTTCCCCATTATTTTTGTTTGGCTTTTGACCTCTTCTGATCTTTATAATGAATTTTATAGGATAGTTATTTAACATCAACACTTTTATCTCTGTTCACCGATTCCCCTATAGCCCTATTCGCAGATGACTTAAAAATTTGGAGAGAGATGAAGGGTAACAGTAATACGCTCACGTTGCAAAAGAACCTCAAAAAATTGTCAGAGTGGTCCAGAGAATAGATGCTCCCGATCAATGTAGCCAAATATGCAACCATGCGCATCGGACAAGCAAGCATTAACGCCTACGAACTAGGAGGAATAACACTTCCATCAGTTCAGAGTCATTTGCATTTAGGTGTCATAGTTAGTCACGATCTACAAACTACAGCACACTGTCGAGCGGTGGCTGCACTTAGTTTCAGATCCTTACGGGCGATTCGCAGAACCTTTACTAGAATCACCAGAGACATGTCTTCAAGGGGACTCACATATTATAGAAAAGGTCCAAAGAAAAGCGACACTTATGATTTTCTGCATGACTAATTTATCATACCGTAGGCAGAGAGGAAACTTAGTCACAATGTTTAAAATTTCAAATAATAACTACGGGCCTGACCTGTTTTCTCTTTTCTTCCCACCAGATCGGAACACCTAACAGGACATAGCAGGAGAGTCCAAAAGCCAAGAAGAAATCATATTGCTGTTGAGTACTGGTTCTCACACCTAGTCATGAACTCTTGGAACTAACTCCCAGAAGAAGTGGTGTCCACAACCTCAACTGATTCACTCAAGAGTTTGGACAACCACAGAAATTTACCAGAAATGGATTGACATAGGCTTCAAGCCTTCTTTTACCAACCAGTAAATATGAAAATCGAAAATCTAAATCTAAATAGAACTATGTCTAAAACAGTTCCTAAATTCTGTTCCCACATCAAACTTGTTTCCTACTTTACTATGCATTTGACTAAACAGAAATCTTCACTCAATTTGACGAATTTTAAGACAAATAAAATGATTGTTTGAGAGAGAATGGTGTCTTTAAGTCGTTTAATCTTAGATAACTTTTCATACGGGGTACTTGAAAAAAAATACATAAAGGTATGCTTGAAGGAATGTATTAGGCTAATAGCCACACATTTATTCTGCATGTGCCTGCTGGACAGTTTACGACAGTACCCAGTTGTATAGGCGGCTGAAATAGGTGGAATACTACTCAAACCCGTGACTCATTGATTAAATGTCAAATGAGTTACATTTCCACACTTGATGAAGGAAGACTATAGGGATAAAATTAAGTTCAAATATCATTTTCTTGTACGATGAATATCTGACAAATAATCTCAAAAAGAGAGGTGACAAACAATGTTAATATTTAGTATTACACCATCAGATAACATTATGCGGTATGTGCTGTAAATATATGCTTTTTAGAGAGAATGGCTTGACTTTCGAAGCTATGAATTACTAGATAAATTAAATATCTATCTAATTCATTTACTCATATGTTTCAGACTAATTTAGATTCACTGTTGTAGAGTTTATATGCTTATTACTGTCTTTATTGAACTACATTTAGTATCTTCAGGATTAGTAAGCAGACCACAAGAATGCAGGACACTTCTAAAAATTAAAATTAGGTGACATTCTTACAAGTGCATACTGAAAATGCACCTCAAAAGTTTAATAGCAATGAATATCGCAAATTACAACTGTGGCGATATATCAGATTATCTACATACTTCAGATATTCTAAGAAATATTCGTAACAATTAAATCATATATATATATATATATATATATATATATATATGTATATATATATATATATATATGATTCATACACAGAAGCTAGTCTACATGAAAATTCATTAATGTAAGTCTTTTGAAAGCAGAATTCAACAGAAAAAATACGGCGATCAATACAAAACTAGACAAGCCACACAAAGTTTGAATACTGAATAAATTTGCTTCTTTGATTATTATTATTATTACTATTAAGTAAAAAGCTATTAACATAGGACAAAGAAAGTGATATTTTACATGCAGTTAACTTGAAATCTCACCGGGATAAAATTCATCTTGTTTAGATATTTTGACTTTTGTGTTAGTTTCTTTTTGAATTCTACCTATGGCTTCACCAGACTTTCCAATAACAGCTCCAGCAGCGATAGATGGTACAAGAATTTTGAGCTGAACATTATCCTCTATAATACGAAATATGGTAAACGAAATTATGCGTGTTCATTTTGATTTTTTCCCAACAAAACTTACCACAATTCGGACGTTTAGGACTTGTGTCTGGGTCTAAATCCTTCTCCGGAGGCCTTTTTCTTGAATCACTGCTGTCGTCAGAGCTAGAATGACTCCCAGACATATTGATGACACCAACCACCAGCAAAATGAACTAGGTATATCCGCAGTGCTTTAAAATCACATCAGTGAACAAATAACGGCTATAGCGTTAGCTTTAAAACTAGCTCCAGTAGAAACCGAAAGCAAGTAGTACAATCAAATGTAAAAGTGCCAATCATTTTGGATACAGATTTTTGTATAGTGTAAGCAATAAAATGGCAGTATCTTGCGCCTTTAGAAATCCAAAATGTGTGTAAAGTGTAAGGTTTCTCGTATTCATCCTCGTTTAAAAAAATCCATGAACTGATAGCTATTTGAGTTGTGAAGCCTGCACATCTCTCTAGGTTGCATGAGGTCATGAACTCAGAGTTCGCTTTACCAAAAAATGCACTGAGTTGTCCTCGGTCATTTTTTCTTGAATAACTAAGTCAAACAATACTCCCACATAGGGAACCAACACACACAGTTCACCTAATTTTCCTAAGCGAGCGTTCATTGAAAGCTCCTAAAAAATGCTGCATTCGCCACAGTGTGACTGTGGCCCCTCTGAGACTGACAGTTCTAAGTTGGAAATTCGTATTAGGGTTCAGGCTGCCTCAATTTGCCTCCAGGCAAACACAGCTTTCTGATGTCCTACACCAACAATCCGAGTGACTTTATTGCATATCCCCGCAATGACGCTAGTTGCTTTGTTGCTATTGGCTTCAAGTTGCCTTGATTTTGGGGTAAGATGTAAATGATGTAATATTGTTATTTCATAGACATAACTCAGGCTCATAGGTGAAAGTTATAATCCTGGAATAAGGACAAGTTGTTCATAAGGTGAGAAGGACATTATTTTTCAGTTTATTTGTATATATACTACTGTGCATCGAGTTGCACTGAGTTCTTAGAGCAACTGTATGCAACTGCATTTATATAAAGTAAAACATTACGAATTCTCCTGTTTTTAGAATGAAAAACATGATTCTTTTATTCAGTTTAGCAATGAAGAATGGAATTTCTTCTACGTAAGTACTGACGTACGTCAGTAACTTCAATTAAGTAACACGCGTTATTTAATTGAAGTTTTAATCTTTGTAGGCCCTTAAAGGAATGAATTCGGCACGGAGAACTACTATGGAAACTGAAAGTACCTTTAGTTTACTAAATCTTACTGACTTCCTGTATAAATTTGATATTTTTCAAATGTTCATTTGAAATCTGCTGGAGTATTCAGTGAAGTAAAAGTTGTAGTGCATAATATCTAGACTTGTTGTAGTCGTTGGTATTGCCAGGATACCACTTACTCGTTTTATGCAGCCGGAATATCCAATTATCCCTTTATTGAGGAAACACTATATCGCCTGCTAAAGTAGTGCGTCAGTTTATGAGTTTCACAAACCCTACAGAATGTTTTCTGTTCAGTGATTACTGTTTGCGAATTATCCGAGAAAACACACTTCCGAGTGGGATGTAACACAAGGCTGAATTCTTAAACTGTCATCCTTACATCAGTTCAATTCAATCAAACATATATTAGTAGGATAGTCTGTAATTGACTTTAGAGACTTATCAAGAAATAGTCTCATCAACTTACAGTTTACTGATGATATTGTCCACCTAGACTATGAGAATTAACCCCTGATGCTGTAAAATATGAAAATAATACTGGTGCTTGATTATAGGTGTCTGCGTCCTATCTCATCAGTAAAGCAGTATAATATGGCGAGTACTGTTGAGGTTACGCAAAAATGTTGGGATGGGGGGTTAGTTAGTCTTCAAGGTAGGGAAGCTGAATAGTTTGAGATGGCGAGAACGTGCTGGCATACCAAGCCATCGCCTTCCTCCAGGGACAGTGCTAGCCAGCAAATGTTAAGGTTTAAAATGTGTTTGGGTCAGCCAAATGAAAAACTGGTATTGGTTCATAAAATCGTTGACGGTCAGCTGGAAGAACTACTATAGATATGACTGCAAATCTTTGTTACTTGCACAGATGCATTCACTCTGTGTAATCTCACGTATCGATTCAACTCATGTTTTTCCTTGTCACTATTTATTCTTCCTCACATTTTCTCTCGTTAAACTTCCATTTAGTTTTATGTCTCTACCTTTGTGTGCTACATGAGATGTGGTAAATTAAACAGGTGGACTTCTCTGCAAACTCATACTGAAAGCTAGTCAGAATGACACAGTCTAGGCATAACTAAATGCGAAACATTGATAAATGATCTCCAAAATTTCAAAAAATGATAAGTGTAGTTCTTAATCTTGTTCTTTGCTAAATGAAAAATAGATACCTTTCAGTAATCTCTTCTTCCACCCGGGACTCGTCTCCTACTTTGCAACTGGATTTGTGCTTTGTCACTTTTGTGCTTAGCTTTCGGTCATTCAGCATTCGCCGTTGTTGTTGACTCAGCGCCTAGATGACTTTAGTTGAATAAGGTTTCGATCGTGCAAACTTGGGTCCTGGGCAGTTGATTGGTTGCATTATCATTTCTCAAATGGAATGCAGCATACTGTATATTAGGGTAAATCTTCCGCCTCGCTTGCTGAAGCTGGTGTTCCTCAGGGTATTGTTATCTCTCCTTTTCTTTTTTCTCTCTCGTCTTACATGACTTTTCTCTTTCTAATGAGAGCAACTTCGTCAAATACGCTGTTGATCTGACCGTCTCACTTCGTGTCATGTTACAATGTGACTGCAGCAAACTTAACTGGTTCCTGTCTGTAGTCTAAGGTACGTGGTCTTGCGTTAAATCCCTCTAAAAGTCAGGCAGTTAACTTTCCCCTCACTCATAAGCGTGAACTGCAAGAACTGTGTCGTTCACAAGATGCTTGTATCAAAGAGGGCACTGAAACAGAAACTAAGTCTAAAATAAAATACCTTGGAGTAAATCTATCCTCTGGTCTTTCTTGGTCATTCTATATCTTGTCGATTTCTAAGAAAACCTTCAGTCTAGCTTACCATGTTATGTGGTCAAGACAGTCAGAATCATTCAACCTCTCTTTTTACAATTTGTTAACTCTTGCATTGGTCTTTACTGCTCCCCTTATTCTTTCCTGAATTACTCAAAAACGACTATGTCGTATTGTGCAGGGTATTAAGGTTGTCATTAGGGCAAGTGGTGTACCATTTAGTCAACTCGTTAATGCATTAGTTGAAAGAAACGGTCTGAATCTATACTGTCTAACCCTCAACATCCTCTCTATTCTCAGCTCTTCTTTTTAATTTCATCTGATGGAACCAGAAGTCAGTATTAAAGATTATATGATCGTTTTTGGAATAACGTAATTCCAAAAATTGTTGTCGTTTTCATTGCAGCAGTTCACAGCCTACTGAGTTTACACAAGTGCAATGCCCATTTCTCACTTTCCTGAGGAGACATCAACTAGGATTCTAGGAAAGTAGTACGTCAGTATGCGAATTTCATGAATCTGTAGACTGCATTCCATTCACTTATTACTGAAACTAAACTATGAAGGAACTGATATTTCAAAGAAGGATGTGATACAAGGCTCATTTCCACAACTGTCGTCCTTATTTTGATTCACTTTCATCATACATGTATTAACCGAATTGTCTGTTACTCACTTTAGGGACTTACCAGGGAACAGTCTTGTCAACTTAGTGTATGCTGATGGTATTGTCCACTTAGGCTGCGAGAAGTGACCATTGAAACTGGAAGATATGAAAAGACTACTGGTTTTTGATCGCAGTGTCTGTACCATTTCTTCTGTGTTAAGTAGTCTAATATGATGAGTAATATTGGGGTTAAGCTTAGTGTTATGTAGAAATGCGATTCCAAACGTTGTTGATGACACAGATGCATTCAGTGTGTGTAATCTCACATATCTGAGCAACTCCTATGTTTTTTCCATATGACTGTCCGTTTTTCATCACATTTATGCTTATTAGAGTTTCATTTAATTCCTTCTTTCCCTTACTTTTGTGTGCTACATGGAACGTGATAACTAAAATGGGCGCACTTGGGTGCAAGCTCCTATGTTGAAAGTCAGTCTGTCGGAATGATCTATAGTCCAGGTATAATGAAATGCCAAAACGTGGATAAAAAATGGGCGAAATGTCAACAAACGATAATCGTACTTTTTCATTTGGTTCTTGTCTAACTGAAAAAGAGTTATATTTCAATACTTTCTCCTCTTTCCCGAGATAAATCTCACACTCTGTCTCGTTATATCTCATGAGTTAGTTAGTTTTACCACGTAGCCCAAATGAGAAGTCGAAACACATCTGATAAAATGTATTCTTATTACCAACTAAATATAATATTTTTCAAGTGTGGAATGTCACAAATCGAACTGCTGCACTTCTGTGCTGAGTTCCGTGTCAAAACTCAGTCAGTCAGCTTTGTCCCTGCAGATGCGTAGTGTCCCAACTCACTAGTGTTAATTAGCATAAACGATTGTTCATGCCGTTTCCTAAGTACTCTATGCATTTCCCAATTCCTTAAATTGTCCAGATAAAGTCCACTGAAAAGAAAAACATAAATTTAAAGTCAGTAACACGGACGTAAGAAATAGTGTAAATAGAAAAGAATGAGGTGAGTGACATTTTATCCCTGTGGTACGCTTAACTAAAATACTCATGTGCATGAATGAGGCAAAAAGTTGCGTGACTGACTTGATATGATTATGAGCAATAATTTGTGCTGGAAACATCATCACATTATATTTCTGTACTACACTGTGTGATATATAAAAGTAAAATCGTAACAATAATGGAGTCATACCCTACCACAGTGCACAAGTATTAAACTTATATCAAAAATACTTATCCTATGTGTTATGTGTCTCCCAATTGTTTCATTTTCGTCTCCCTCATTGCAGATTGTCATTCTTCGTAGACATTCTACTAGATGTTGTCATACCTGGTGTCTGCAAGCAGTCTTTCAATTAAACAACCTCCCGCAAAGCTGTTGTCAGCCACGTCTCGTAAACCGTCAATGTCCAGCTCTTGCTACGCTGGGACTCACGCTGTTCCTTGAAGTTTCTCAGAAACGCCTAGTAATAACGGACGCAAAACCAAAACACCGATTGGCCACTCGAGAATTCCTTATTGTAACACCAACATATAGCCAACTTTAAGCTTTAAAACTAAGGTCTATGAACAAATATTACAATAATAAATCATAATATTACTTCTGACGATGTTTTACTCTTCTTTCTGAACAGCGACCGATGAGGCGATGACTGGTGTATCGATGTCTCCGCGAAAATATAGGGAAGTTGGGTTTGAGCAAACAACCATGAATTGATCGTTCAATCTTCAACTACATTAACACTCCCCACCAAAACACGGATCCAACCCTTTTTTCCTTCACGACCAATACACGTTGAATTGGATGCCACTGTGAGAACCTGGGTCACACGGACAGAG